TAATAAAAAATAATGTTTTAAATTACATCACCAAACCGCAACTTTTTAAATTAAATAACATTCATTAAATAGCTTGAAGTTTAATAAAGAAAAATTTACCGTGAAATTAGTTCGTGTTGGGAGCATCACTCCGTTCATTGTATTAGTATTATATACCCGTAGTACACAAATTATACACTACTAATACATTTTTTATCTGCTTTGGATGGATAAACTGCAACCGGTTTCGATTAATTCGAAATCCGACGTGTGATGTATACTATTTTGTGAATTCTTTCGACACTCTGCGGTCACGATATAATACATAAATGTTTAATTAACCGTGTAATGATGTTACTCTTATGATTATTAAAACAACTTCATGATTCTCACCTTTAAGAAATAGCCCTTATTTTCTATGCAATACACGTGATTTTAAGTAATTGTATTAAAAATGCATTTAAGAAACACACTTTTTACTGAAAGTAGTCATTAAAAAAAAAAATTGTATAGATTAATAAGACTTTAACGATTAGTTATTATACCGCTATTTCCTAGGAAAATGAGTAATACGCTATTATTTTACAAATATCAACTCTATCTAGTTTTTAACTCGAGATTGTTGTAATTTCAATTCAATATCGTACACTAAACAATTAATTTTTACTAGTCATCCCGTTTGGCGAACAAAAATGTATGTACTCGATTGAAATAGTCCAATAAAAGTGGCTGTTCTAACAATTTCCAAGTCGAGAATGGAACCGACGCCATTTACGAAATTGTCAACACAAGTCTCGTCATTGACACAGCACTTTGTTCGACAAAGTTACTTGTCATTATGTACACAATCGTAAATCAATTGAATGCATTTATTAAAAACAAGTACACGATTGCTAACTAATAAAACGATAAAAACCTAGCCCGATACGTGTGGATGTCAGTTGTAAGTGTTTTTCATAATGTGACGGCCGAGTGGAAAAAAAATATAAACGCTACTGGCCGGGCCAGCTCTCTGATAATTTACATAACATTCATTTTAATGTAAACAACCGTGTCAGGAGTTATTAATAATAACAACAGTTTTCCGTGTCCAGAACGTATGTCATGCAAACAGGATTCGCGTTATGTTAATTTTAATTTCACCCGACATTTGTGTACCTACACCACCTGTACCCGGTCCGAGAGCGTGTTGGCTCGTATACATTTTAGTGGTACACTTGGAACGCGTTAAGTGTCAAACTTTAAACGCTAGACGCGTACACCGCACCCACACCCCTATTGTGTGCGGACATCTAAAAAAGGGTTATTTACTTTTTATGGAAAGGAGCAGAACATGGCGTGTCGCGTGACTGCGTTGTCGAGCCGTAAAGAAAACAATAATTGTTCTACGCTCGTTTGTAATAACGTTAGGCCAAACGCAAATGTACTGAGCACATATTCGCATGGCACTCGTTAAAAAAGACTGTCGCCCATACGTTTCAATGTCTTTATTGTCTGCTGTTTAAAAATCACGACCGTTTGTTTTTTACGAAAACGTGACAATGAATTTTTTTCAAAATTTGTTTTACTACCTTAGAATAAACACCGACTGTCTTCGAGTTCAGAGTTATTAAGTTTTTCCTTTGAGAAATAACGAACAATTGTGGTAGCGAGTTCGTGTAAATTTAAATATAAACATATTTTTTTCTGAAAGGCTCATGTTTTATTAAATCGGTTATGCGTAAAACTAATATGGGGCTCGGAACTGACACTTTTTTTTTTTTACACGAACCACAATCTTAACCCTTTTATGGTTTAAAATCCAACAATTTTTTTCACATACAACCAACTCGCTCCGTGCTATATTATGTCGCTATTATTGTTCGTGTTTTGCTTTATGCGACACTTTGATGGTTTTAAATATGCGGATGTTTATAACATACATTTCGTTCCCCGAAGAGGAGAGTAGGGCGCGCGTGTACACACAATCGGTTTCATTAGCCGAGTGTGTAATATTTAATTCGGCACGGTCTTCATTCGCTTTTTTTCCGAACGCCATACAATCGCCCTGTAAACACAGTTCGGAAACTACAAAGGTCAGCCCCGTACAAAGGCAATACGAGGCTTAACGGTGACTGGCGAACCGAGACCCGGAAAGTGGCGGACAATAATCGGAAGGCTCGAGCATCGTTCTTTTTGCCATAACAGCAAAAACGAAGAATAAAATGTACGAATCGACATTGACGTTATGTTTCCGGATATCGTTTCCGATCCCAATATTATTTTGTTATTATTAATATTGTGTACTCGAACCGGACGAAAGGAAGCCAATTTTATCAATACAAAATGTTAAACCATCCGGTTTTTTCGACACATATGATTTTGTTTATTATGGTTATCCGAGTTTTAAACATAGTTTGATTAATGGAAAAGATGTTTTGTAATTATTTCAAACTTTGAGGTTGGTAGTCTGTATAACTAAGCGGTTTCAAGGACCCGGATGATTCAAGCTAGTTGGTATATTACGGGGTTTTGGAAAAAAAACATTTTTAAGCAAAAAAGTAATAAACTTACACCTCAAATAATTTTAATAATCTTACAAATACGATTGTAAATTGTTAACGAGTCTTTACTGTGTAAAAAGTGAAACCAAGTCGGTTAGTACTTCAATACACGAATATCAACTACAATAAACTGAAAAAATTAAATCTGCGGGTGCACTTTAACGATTTTATATACAATTTATTAGATATTATTTGCTTGACCTACCGATATCTAAATGAACTGTGACAAATAGAATCTATTATTTGATTCATAAAGCAAATTAAATATCCAATCATTATTCCCGGTAAGTGCAGATAGTATTATGAATCTATTGGTAATATTTTCACGGTTTTTGGCCCAAACACTAACATTTTTTTGTCCTGATGATTCATGCAATAATTGACTAATTTTACAGTTATCTCCGAATTATTGTGACAAAACTTAGAATACCCAATGCAAATCAAAAAATTCTCAGAAAATGTCAGTAGAAACGTTTCTTATAATATTGATATCTACTCGCTTTCTACTGTCTAAGGTAACTGCAGGTGGCCATATAAGCAGAATATTCTTTCAGAATTATCAAACTCATATAAAATGTTTGCTTATTTACCATATTTATGAGTAAAATTTTTTGTTTTTCATATTAGTTTTATGTTCAGCTATGGGTTTTTTTTTTTGTAATAATCAATTGTAAAAATGTACTTATCAATATTTTATCTACTAAAAGACTATACTATGGGTATGTAAAATGATATTTTTAACTAGGACATTATACAAAATAAAGTTTAAAACATAGCACCCTCTTACAAAATATAATTAAATATGCAACGTTCTATTTTGACATCAACACACGTTCATGAACTGTACAAACAAATTAAAATCTACACTAATTGATTTAATAATTATTCAAATTCCAATGATTGGTAATAATAACATATAATTATCAGTGATTATGTAACCAATAAAACATATACTTCTTTATATGAATTTTAATAACACATCAGTTTTGAAGTATTTTAATTCTAAAAACATTTTCTAAACATATTATATTTTTTTAATGTATTTTTATACACGCACAAATATATATTATTATTTTGTTAGCATCAGCGAAACATTTATTAATTTATCAAACATTTCTTAAACCAAAATTGTTAATTTTTTAATTGATTTAGCTACATTTGATTATTTTTCAAAACTACCAAATCAAATTGTTTTTAATTAAACTAAATTTAAATATAACATTTTTTTTTAACTCAATTTAATGAATTTTATTGTCGAGAAAAATACTTTTAATAAAATGAAATAAATTTCTTGTCTCTTCAAGTATTTAGTTTGTTATTTCTTGAAATGTACTTCTATTCTTAATTGCATTATAGTTTATGTGGATTAACTATAATGCATATAAGTATAATCTAGACAGCTGTAAAATAGACATTATTATAATCAAGTACTATCCATCTATAGACTTACGTATTGTATTAAGCAGAGAGTATTCAATTTGTGCAAATATCTTCGTGCACCTTTAGACAATTTATACATGACTTAAAAAGAAAGCACATCGCACATTACATGTAATTATAATCATTTAAAAATAATAAAACCATAAGGCGTTATGAAATAAAAACCTATCGATTTTCAACTGTGCAAAATGCTCTTCATATAAAAAGAATGATGGGATGGCGCAAATATTACAAAATACATTTCCATAATGTTATTCATAAGAGTTCAAAACTTAGTGTCCGTAGTTATTGTAACGAGTCAACCTTTAAATGTGCTAATACACTTATAAGCCTAATTTTAATGTATAAATGATTTATCTAATTAATTTAAGTGAAACAAATTAATAATCATTTACTGAAGAAATTTATTTAATTAAGTCAACTAATTAGCCGTTTTTAATGTAAACTATTTAAGCAATTATTAAAAAGGTATTTAGTATATTCAATTCATTCAATTTATACAGTTATAGTGTTCATTATCATTAATACATTTTGTCATTGATGAATTTAACTAACCCCGTTTTTTTATACATAAAAGCAGTTACTGTGCTCTATAGTTACATTTTACTCGCCTTTTATTTTGATTTCTCTGTGTAATTTATGTAAAATATATTTTAAAATAATTAAATGGGACAAATTAAAATTACTCATAAACCCCAATTATTATTTGAATATTTATCTTTCTTTATTTTAATTAAATATAATAGATTATCAGACAATAATAAATGCTAAAACACATTGTTAATGATACGCAATATTATAAAAACATTAATTTAAATAATTTTGATAAAATTCATCAATTAACTATAGTCTTTTTACTTCTGCTTTAGCTTATTAAACACATGTCACGTATATCGCTTTTTTACTCGTGAATTATATTAATTATTAATTATACCTATTGCTCTATAACTAATTCTAGGTTTATATTTTAATGACAGTAATTAATTTGTATACCTACATTTTGGAAGAAACAAAAAAAACCATCATCGGCGAATAAAATTCAACTTCAAATTACATTTTTTATTTCAACTTATCTATTTTATTTTTACATAATAAATAATAATTTTATTCAAACATCAGTATGCTGATCATAATTATTAACACATATTATACAAATATGATATAAATAAACATACATAAATTACAACATTCGTCTCGGATACATTATTTCTGCTAATCATTTTAGTATACATAATCAAAACAAATAATACAATCAATTATCTATGATGTACGAGAAGTTGTGCCATGCGACACTTTCACATAAATCATGTACATTTAAATTATTCGATTTGAAAAAGCTTCGCAGATTTTACGCTTCGTCTCGTCTTCTTTCCGGAAAATTAAAAGGACTTATCATAGTTTCCAGGCCTGAAACAAATTTAAAAAAAACAACACTATTAATTTAGCTGTAAGCAAGTAGCCAAACTCGTACTTTAAACAATGGTCGCAATGGAATTTCTCGACAAATACATTTTTTAACATTATAGTTTGAATTTTTAATTATAGGCTCGCGGATAAAACTTATTTTTAAAGGGATTTTATTGAAACTGACAACGGAACACACATATAGATAATTAATTTATTACTTTATGTGTTCATAGAGAAATTCAAGAGGGTATATATTTGTGTTATTTTAGACTTATCAATGTATGCGGTGAACGTTTTGAACATAAAACTCACATCTCGTACATTCCATTGGAATCAACGTTGTAAATTGTAATAAACTAATAAGACTATTTTACAAACGAGAGATTAGTACTGCGTTTAACTCGAAAGATGTCATATACATAATCAAATATACGCCATCTCATATTAACGCAACCATTCAAATGGCATCTGTAACTCATACTTGGATTATATGATTTTTTTATATCCTTGTGAAACTGGACTACGATGATTGTGACGAGGTCATCCGTAGAAAACCGGATTGCTTCGGTATTAAATATTACTTATTAATTCATCGTTTAATCTGGTCAATTAAGCAATTATTTCGAATGTTCATGTTATTATTTTCTTTTGCGCATAAATTAATATCACACTAGATCGCTGATTTTTAATAAATCCTAAATTCTAATTGGTTAAATGTAACACGAGCACGGCATTTACATGACCTCATGACACTTGCATGAAATAGTTCACATAAAGGATGTACATCGATAAACACAATCATATTTATTTGCAATTGGCATGCGCACACGTAATACTTTTAGTATAGACGGTAGTTAATAGGCGCGACATTTTAATTGGCTAAATTCATGATCATTGAGCCAATTAAAATACATTTTTGTAATATTTATTTTCTAAATTCTATATATTAATTAATATGTTCTATATTAACGAGAAATTCTCGTTCCCATATTCCTTTCTTCGTCCAAATTAGTTTAGAAAAATTTTAAATAGTGCCAATATGGACCCACATATGTTATCCTGTTGACCACTTCCTTTTTCTTATTTTGTACTTTGAAACGGTAATTTTTTTTTTTCATATATTATTTCAAATATTCTATTGAATTATATTTATACTGATATTATTTTATGAAATTGTTAAATAACCTGATATTGTAAAAAGGGCTGAGCCCGTTAAATTTATAAATAAGTATTAATTTTCGACAAAATACATAATGTATACACGTAATATTGAAGTGGCTGTTGTAACACAATAGAATTAAGCTTTTACACGAGTTATAATATTACGACGGCCAACTTTACAAGTAAAATATTATCTAATTTTAATGGTAAAAAATAATGACAATGGTTCTTAGCGACAAAAACGAAGAATAGCAAGTCAAACGGTAGACGGTAAAATTGAAAAGAGAAATAATTTTTGCTCCTGACATTCATGATTTGAATAATCTCTCGAGAAACAACGGTCGGGCGGCCGTCTTCCACGGGATTGTTTTTTTTATACTGTCAAAATACTATAAAAAAATTTTACAAAACCCATTTCTCATGAAAAAGCTATTATCGGCGGCGGCGGCGGTATTATTATTTACCGAAGACGTGGCCGTAATGAGTTTCTATCGTTGCTGTTAACGACAACAACAATTCGAATAGCAATAAGTAATAACAATAACATGTCTTCTTCTTTACATCACGATGGTCGTCGAAGTCATCTTCGCCGTAATGGGCAAACGTTTATCGCATACACATGTGGTGGTCGTAATTTACTTAGGACGTGTAGGTATAATAATAATATTCCATTTAGTTTTTTCTTATTTTATATAAGGACGCACAGGAATATATGAGAGTGTTGGGATAACACACATTTGGCCAGACAGCTTGACGCTACGGCATTCCATTATAGATGATGATGACGAAGAAGAAGAAGAAGAAGAAGGGTGTACATAGTGGTCTGCAGCACCGTAGCAACCACTGCCGCCAGCGACCGTCGGCTGTCACCTTTTGTTTAGGTTGAAGAATTGTGTCGGATCACCTTTGATCCTCTTTTTAGGTCCTTGTTACAAATCGTTTACTCACAGAAAACACTTTCGGCAAATTAAATGTGCCAATGAAACGAAAGACCGTCGTTACGAACCTTAATGTTTTTTTAGAACCATGCTTGTAAAAAAAAGGGGTATTCTTTGTGTTACAATTCGGATGTTGGACAGTTCTCAGAAGTATTTACCAGCTTAATTATTCTGATACGAAGCAGCATAAGTCACAACTGGGGCAAAATTGCAAGAAGGGCACAATATATTTTCAAAATAGTGAAAATAAATAATTTTCATAATGACTTGGTCATTAAAAAAAAACCTGTTTAAGATTATAGGATTTTAGTTTTGTAAAAGCAATTCACTTAATTAAAAAAAAAAAATAATAGTATAATCTTGTTGAAAGAAATTGATATAATATTCATTATTTGAAAATGTTCAGGTGATATTTGGCCATTCTTGACTAATAACTCTATAGTTAATTATAATAAAAAAAACATAGATTAACAAGTAATTCGACATTTTAATTATTTTTTCTCTTTTGACCTAATAATTATGTGTTCACAAATAAAATAAAAAACTCATTTTAAAATCGTAGAAAAAATTTTAAAATATTGTTTTATAAATGTCAATCGAGTAGAAAATAATGACAAATGTTATTTATTGTGATTGTAAAAAGTTGTTTTAAACTACGTAATATGATCAACGACAAATTGTAATAAATATTTTATTTTTCAAATTAAAAGAATAAATTGTCAGCATTGGTAACTTTTAAATATGAATACATTTTTCAATTGTTAACTTTGCACGCGAAGCCTTAAAATACATTAAGCGGAGTTTCTTTTATTGGACATTTTGTATTTTCAGCAAACTATATCATAAACAAGATTTGTTTTTCATTGATTCATCTAAAATTTTTACACTATAAAGACATGTTGTAATCGTTCGAACGTAAGCAATTAATTACAATAAAGCTCAAGCTTTAATTATTCTATACGATTTATTGTTCACGAGTCCACGACCGTTGAGATTAGAAATATCAAGTTTTAGCTGTACCATTTAATAATTATTTTATTTTAATAAATTATTATTAATTGTTTACGTTATATACAGCGTCAATATTGAATTTGTAGCAATTAAACATTGAAGTTAAAAAAACATGATTACATATTTAGATTTTTATATCGTAATACACTGCCATCAGCAATATATTGTCTTATTAGAGTTTATTAATTATTTAACCTTTATATTACTTTATATCCATTCACCAGTCATTAAACAATGAACGTAATTACTTAAAATAAGAGTAACGGTCGAGTACTCAACGTGTAATTCGTTATACGTTAATCACTGATGATTGATGTGAACACCGAAGCAGAAGGGCAAAGTATAATAATTTCAAAGTCAATGATTTCTATGTAAGTAATTAAGAATAGTTGATCTCGGGAATCGTTGTTATTACAATTATTAGTGATAAAACGATTTTCAATCTTAGTGTTACTCTATTTAAACTATTGTCTGTTACAGAAAAATGTTAATATCTGTTCTAACAATACAATAAGTACAGATTTGTCTTAACTTTAAATAATTTAATAATTGTAAATTGAGAAATAATAATGTATGGTCAGTTATTATGATAAAATAATCAAAAATAAATAAAATGTACTTCATAAAATAATTCACGAATTGTTATTTTAATGTTTATATTTTTATAAAATCATTGGATTTAAGTTCAAAAACAATTTATAAAGTATAATTAATAAATGTACGTTGAAACTCTAGAAATATCTCCTAAATGAAAATGTATATAAGACAACCACCTTTACAGTTTAAAGGACAACTTGTATTATTCATTGATTTTAAAAGGTAATTTATTATGATTAATATTATGATTTGTCTTTTAAAAAAAATAATAAGAAGAGTTTCAGTTTACACTTTACTGTCTTTCCTTTTGAGGTTCGTTAAACTAATGTCGAATAGAAGTGTGTCGTTCAGATTTAGTTAAATAATTAATAAGTAAAATATTATACGTGGTTACTATACCCTTAACAAATTAAATACCTGTTTTTTTACTGCAACTACTCTTTACTCATACACAAACCCGGATTAACCAGTAAATAAACCAATCAACACTGTCTTAAACATCAAATATCAAGGGATACGTTGTAACTTATTGTGTAGCTAGACAAAATTTTCAGTAAATTATTTTTTTATTTCGCAAAGAACAACTTTTTTTGACAAAAAAAAATCAAGTATTTATCCGCGTCCTCCTATATTATGCATAAAAAAACACATCTTTCTTAATCTTGCACTGCATATTTACCAAAAATATCCTACATAATCAAATATATTCAATCATGATACAACAACTGTAAGTGTTAATATAAATAATACGTCTTTCAACGTAGTAACAGATTGTTATTTTTACAAGGATATATAGTCTAAAACATTTTAATAGCATTCAAATTTGTTTTTCTTTATATACATAATATACCAATATTAGTATGAAACGTCTGCTGTGGCTATTTGAGAACCCCCTGGGGGTTCCTGAGGAGTTGAGTTTCTTTTTTGAAATAATACCGACATCGCAAATAATGTATACGGTTTCATATATTACATTTTATATTAAATTGTAAAATAAATTATAATGTGACCTCGCATTTAAATAATAAATCGACGACCGATAAAACTATTTGATACCAATCCAAGAAAAAGATATTTGTTTTCCAAACATATTAATAAAATCATAAGTAGGTAAATTCAATAATTAATAACAATTGTCGTTTATTATTCATTCATTCTATTCATCGAATTAATTTAATGCTGGTGTGAAAACAAAATTAAAGAGAATGACATTTTAATAGGAATCTCATTCGAATCTTGATTTTACCGTGTCACACTCTGAAAAGATGCACAAAACACTATTTCTAGTAGTTA